CAGCACCCACCTACCGCAACGCCGGCCCGGCCAAACCCGGCTGCATCAAGGACAGAGCGGACACCAGCCCCGGCCAGGCTGCCAGCCCTTCTTCCTACCTTTCCCAAGGGCTGGGGCACTTTCTCCGACGCCCCACACAGAGGGAGCCCATCACGGACTGGACAACCCACGCACAAGCAGCGACCCCACGCCGGAGGAGAGGAGACCGGCTGCACGACGCTGTCTCCCTGCCTCGCTGCCCTGGTTGAAGCTGGCTTGGAGGCAGGGTAATAAGCAACATGGTTTTAACGAGGTGGCTGGGGACCCTGCCACCCGCCTGAGGCGACACATGTGGTGCTGGGGAGGAAGGCAGTTCATCCATGGCACACAGGGGGAAGGGACCAGCCTGCAGTTACGCAGAGACAACCCTGGCTCTCCAGCACCCACCACGACCCGAGCAGCAGCTCCAGGGGTTGTCACTGCCTTCCCCAGCCCCAGGGATCTGAGTGCCACCTCCAATCTCCGCCTTGCCTGCTGCTCTTTCCCAGTCTGAGCAGATCAGCGCCCCGATCCCACATCTGACCTGGAGACTCGAGACCTAAAGATGCCCTTTGCAACATGCACTACTCAAACAGGGAAGCAAGAGAGGACTCCGAACGGGATGGAGCCTGCGGCACTGAGCAGCTTCCACCACGGTCCTGAGAGCCTCCAGCCCAAGGTCCCACAGGAGAGCCCATGTCACCACTGCCCTGGCCCCAGCGTTGCCTCCAGCTGTGCCACCTGCTAGCAGGACCCATCAGGCTGACCCTGAGCCGTGCACCTTTTAAAAGATCCCACCAGGGGAGGATGGGCAGAGGTCTCCCACGCATCATGCCCCAGAGAGCCAGACAGCTCCAACACATGCGACAGAGAGGGAACAGCACGTCCCCTAGATCTGGGAGCCATCAGGACACTGCCAGCGCTACGCCTCCAGCTGCAAGGAGGCAAATCACCCACCAGCAGGAAAACGAACCACTTCTCGCTGCACTCTTGATTCTGTGTCATGGGCTGGACCTGGATCGCTGGATCCAGGATCGGGAGATGCCTCTTCTTGCAACCAGTGACCATCTGTGACTCTCCACATAGCCTCCATTCTGGCCTAGAGCAAAGCAACCAAGCTCTCAAGAGCTCTTCATGGACCACACTGCCTCCCTGGCAGCAGAACAGCAGCTCTTGTTCCCATCAGATAAACACCACTCTTCCCTGGCCTGGATTAGACCACTAGCCCTCCCTGGAGCAAGACCCGCACCACCACTGCACTCTCTGCTGATTGCTACTTTCCCCTCAGCCGAGACAAGGAGGGAGAGGGCACGAGCCAGGGCGCGCTGCATATGGAGCCCGTCAGGCTGCACGCAGCCTTGAGGGGAAGCATCGCCACTTGGCACGCCAAGATCAGGGCCAAATGCCAGCAAACAGGCTGCACGGGCGAAGGAGGAAGGGAGGGCATGGACGCTGCTCCATCCTAGGGGCCACAATGGGTCTGTCCCCTGTATCTGCCTGCCTCAGTGGCTCCCCTTCTATCTAAATGCCAGTGTCAAAATCCAGACCCATTTTTGCTCCAGACACCTGGGTTTTAGCAGCAGTAGAAATTCTGCTCCACCAGAGGTGTGGGGGCTGAGGCAATGGAATAAGCCTGGCCAAGCATAGCCATTTTTGCTGGTGAGGACACCCTGACCTGAAGCAGTCTCTTCCCACCTTTCCTCCAGGCTGGTGTGTGGTCCCAGGTGGGCCACAGGGCAGCAGGGCCTGGAACATGTCTCCACAACAAAAACAACATATCAGTTCTGCCACGTCTTTTCAGGTCCAACCCAAGTTAATCCTAGCAAGATGATCTCCAAGAGGGAGCACAGCCCAGGACAGCAGCCAGCTCCTTCACAGCCCAGGCCAGACCTAGGTCTCTAGCACAGCCACAGCAACTCAAGGTGCCTTTCATTTATTTATTTATTTATTCCTTTCCCAGCCCCAGGGGGAGCTCGGGCACACCTCAACAGCTCATTTGTCCTGTCCCATTTCCAAGGGAGAAGTTCAATGTTAATGGGTAAGAGAATTTTGCTATTCTGAGACTGCAAGGTTTGGGAAAATGCCATGTTTTTACTGTGGCTGGGTGAAAATTCACCATGACAACACTGATGCATGAGCTGGCCTCAGACCTGCCTTGCTCTTCACCACCTTCCTCCACAAGACTCCTGCAAAAGGTAGCTCACAGCACAAACAGCACCTTCTCTGCACCCTGCACTCCCTCTCCCACCACACCAGCACAGCCCTGTTTGTGCCCATCAGGCTGTCCTCTCAGGATGCTCAAAAACCAGAGCGCTGGGAAACACAGCTTGCTGTTGTCCTGACATGCCACAGCCTTGGCACCAATTCCAGTTGCCAGCATGCTCCAGGCAGTCATAGCAAGAAGACACCTGGCAGCGGGAAGCGAGCCACACACGGCTGTGCAGGAGCCCAGAATGGCAGCCGTGGCACCCACGCAGGCAGTGCCCAGGCAGCCAGGTGCCCACATGGCCAAGCACCCCTCAGCAGATGCACCCACATGGATGGAGACCACCAGTCATGCCAAGAGCTTACAACATGGGCGAAGAGGCCTTTCTTCCATTAAAGCATAGGTCGCCCCAGGCAGGTGGAGGAGGAGACAGCAGCACAAAAAGGCATCGTGCGCTCTCCAGAGACACAGCCCTTCTGCAAAGTTCCTCTCCAAGCACAGTGAGGCACCATGGCTTGCCAGCCTCCTTGCAGGGGTGGTGTGCACCGTACAGGTCTGACCAGGCTACAGAAAACAGTTTGGCTGCTTGGAAGCCCCTTCTCACAGCTGCACAGAGATCCTGACACCTCGGTCCACCATTGCCTTCACTTACGTGATGAAGGCCAGACCCTGCCAAATATCCTAGGAAATATTTACATGTTGAGTAGTCTCCCTTGGGCCTCTATTCTCAGCCAGCTTGGTTCATAGAGATGCAACTGCTGGGAAGGAGCCCATGAACGCTAGGTCTGGATGCGGCTTCCAGGCTCTGTTCCAGCTGCCAGCACAACCATAAGCAAGACATTGGGACTGACGATTTTGGAAGCAGTCTCCAGCTGCGGGTGTCTGTTGCAGGCTTCAGGCTGCAAAACTCTGGGGGGGGGCTCAGCCTGCTCTCACTCTCAGCCTTGCTCAATGTGTTCTCCAACTGCTTCCACGGCCTCCACTCCCACTCGCCCCAGGTTCAAGGCGAGCAGATGCTAAATGCATGCAGGGAGAATGGTTCCTCCTGTTCTCTGGAATCCCATCTTACCATCCTACACGCTTGCATCAAACCTCACTGCCCTACTGATCCAGACCTCCACAAACACCAGGCTCTGAACTCAAGAGCTTCAGAGCAAACATCTTAAGGGGAATTCAGACTCCCAAAATTACCCACCTGTGTGGCCACACAGCTCAGCAGTCCCCCAGAATCAACAGAGAGCCAGCAGCTGAGCCCCCCCATCTCCTAGCTGTGTCCCAGGCTCCCTTGGCTGTCTGCAAGACAGCCAGTCTGCCCTGGGTCCCCCCGGCTGCCGTGGGACCAGGATTGCTCCAGGGAACGCTCCTCCCGCACCAGGTCCGGGTCTGCCCAGCCGTGGGGCTGGGAATCGCACACAGCCTGCACAGACATGCTGCTGCAGGATCCCCCAGCCCTGATGGCTGCCAGTCCTTGGATACCGACCCCACAGGACTGCATTTCCACAGCATCTTCAGCACAGCGCCTCGGAGCTCGCGGCTACAATCACTGCTGGAGAACAGCGGGAGAGGAGACCTCCCAAGGCCGCAGAGAGCCAGGGATGGGACCCGGGGGAGAAAGTGCCCACGTCCCCAGGGACCTCCACGGGCAGATCGAGCTGTCAGCCTGCTCCGGCCCCAGCCCCAGTGAGCCCCACCGTGCCAGGGCCACCATCACCGTCCTGCTGGTGCAGCCCCACGGAGGAGCTCCCCCAGGCCCAGGGGGTGCCC